CACACACACACACACACACACACACACACACACACCAGCAAACACAGAAATACACACCCGATTCACTCACCAATAAGCTCTTTTTCCGATAGAGAACTCACTGCAACTGTCGTATCATGCTTTCCCACCAACTCAGATCCAAACAAACCTTCCAGTGCCATAGTGTATCCTCGATGTCCCACAGTCGACTGTCAACAGAAATGGATTCCTCGTACCTGGTTGTAAAAGGGCTCTCTTCAGAGAGGGGTGGGAATGGGACGGTAATCGTATTGGGCTTAATTAAGTTCCGTTGACACCTGTCCGACAAGTCGGATTTGCTTGATCAGAAATCCAGATGGACCGGCGCAGACTTCTCGAAGCGAATCATTCGGCACGTCCAGAATTTAACCTCGAATACGGGCAATAGGATACTCCTAGGAGTTTAGTCCGGATAATCGAAGTCTTCCAAACAATGAACATATTTAACAAACGTTAGTAGTAGTAGTAGTAGTACTTAGTGGTATTTTGTTATTGTTGTTGTTGTTGTTGTTGTTGTTGTTGTTGTTGCTGCTGCTGGACGGTCAACTTAGTTCAACCAGAGAGCTTAAAATTACACAGACTCTCTGGTTCAATGTAGGAAAATCGAGCCATTTTGGACACAGGCTCCGTACCAAATCGCGAGAGTGTCAGATAAGAGCCCATGCACTGTTATAAAGCGTACCACTAAACCAAGTCACTGTAAAACTCCGAAAATGCTGTAGGTTATTCTAGTGGGTGCAGTTGGCGCGTGCTCTGGTGTGGTTTGCTCCTTTTTCAATCAAATAAATATCCATCGTCCTTATCTCTCGTTCTTCTTCATTGTGTATGTTACTTTTTTGAAATACCTCTTATCTTTGGCACTCTCGTACATGATATGACCTTATTGTGTTGTAAGTATCGTAAAACTCTTACTAAAACTGAAAACAGTAAGCTATTTTAGTTTGCCAGTTATACCTGTCAACTTCGATAAGTGCTAAAATGATGGGGTCTTTTTAGGAACAGTTTTGTTTGGATATTTTGGTCCGATGTTGTAGTTTCGTTTGTACGGTATGCCCCTTAACACCAAGACGGCCAGATTATGCATTGGGCCCTCGGAAGGAGGGGGGGGGGGAGTTAACAAGTAACACGGAACTAATATATTTGTATCTATCATACTTTACGTTTCTTTGTAACAATATTTTGAACAATCATGTAAAACTGAATTACTACTCCCTATTTTTTAAATAAGTAAACAGCGTCTTTTGGACATAACATTACACTGACCTACTGGTGGCCTCACGAAGGGTGGAGACCCCAGATGAGCTTACCAGGCCATGTAAGCTGTGAATAGAGGGCTAAAGTTTACTTTCAATAGTCGCGTCGATCATAAGTTGAAAGCAGTAGAAACTCGAGCGTGCTGTAAGTATTGCCTCAAATTGACGCCTAGTCCCAAATTCTTTCGAGATTTGGGACCCTGGTAAGCCATCATTCTAGAGAAGAGCAACTATGTGCACATAGTCTATCAAAAATTAAGCCAATAATAATAAGCCAATAACATTATAAGCACAAAGCGGCACCAATATGACAGCGAGTAACGTATTGATTTATTTGACTATCTATTTTGATCCCTCTCAAACTGTCCCATTCAACAAACTAGGCTCTCTGGATGACCTGAGGAGTAACATTTAGACCCGTGATCCAATTGGAATAGACCATTACAAAAAATCAATGGCATACATTGTAATGGTTTTTTTTTAGCACCATGTGAATAATCAATAATCAATAACTAGGTTTGTTGCGGTGGTGGTGGTGTTCATGATGTGGGAGTGGTACGTGTGTATATTTGTGTGTGTGTGTGTGTGTGTGTGTGTGAATGTGTGTGTGTATGTGTGTGTGTGTATGTGTGTGTGTGTGTGTTTGTGTACTTGTGTGTATATTAGGGAGAGAGAGAAAAAGAGAGTAAGGGAGAGAGAGAG